ATTGCATACTTGAAGTGTGGATGCATCATTACTAAATAGCGCAGTGAGAACACAATCACTCACCCTTCCTCGGCCATTGTAGATTAGCGATGGATGAAAGGATAGATTTCTGAAATAAAGGCATAATACGATCGATATATTAATATCCATTCCTTCCGATACATCTTTGATCACTTTAAAGACAGGATGTCAAGAATTTAAGACCGATTCAGTCAGAGATTACAAAAGCTCGCCCTACCTTCCCTCTGACTGCGGGTAAAGAGGACGTCATAACGTCGACGACATTGTTTTAAGCGCAAAAGGCCCCGACCGACGGTGTCCATCTCACTGCCTGCATGGAGGAGAGCCACGCGGAAATCTTTTTGTGGCTTTCAGGCTAGAGTTTGCTTGTTCTATTTCAGAATTGTTGCTGATTTTTTTATGTAGAAAATATATTGATCAATATTATTGAACGCCATTTTAATACTTCTTAAAGCGATGGCATAGACAGTAGACACCTTAATCCACCACTAGGGTGCGTTATGTACACGGTATAAAATACGCGCCTCAATATTTTTATTTTTATATGTATATATTTAATTAGTATATTTGTTCACTTAAAACACACTTAAAATGTATACATTTTCTAGACCTTTGAGACATTTTTTTTTTTCAACTGCTTCCAACTAACGTTAGTGTCTGGATGATTTTAATACATGAGTGACCACGTAACTTACTTGTTGGGCGCACTGTAATTAATGTACTGTGTAATCTCGGTGGAGAAAAAGAGAGAATCCCCTCATGCAAGTTTAGGCATGCCACACTGATATATTTTATGGTGTGTGAGTGTGTGGGAGGGGAAGAAGTTCTTGTGGTAGGTGGGGCTGTCAGGTAAACTGTCAAAACTTGCTTTCCTGGTCCTTGAGTTGGCTGAGTTTACTGTTTGTAAACGCTCACACAGCTTACAGAAATACTTCGGCAGCCACTTCTTTTTTCAAGAAACCTTTTGAATTGATAATTTTAAAAAGATGTCCGTCACGGTGTATTTCAGCAGTGTGAGTGGCTCTAGAGAGGTGTGTATCTTGTATTTGTGACTTCTCTGACTCTGACTGTCTAGCATTTGATACTCGCTGTTTGAAACTAAACGTGCTGAATGATGACATGAACTTGTCTGTTTATATGTTTTTATATTAGTTAACGTGCTAGACAGTCGTCTTTATGTCAAATTACATCAGTTAAGAAGTTATCTCTACAGTGATACAAATGTGTCCTCTGGATTATGTGAAGCCTTTGTATGTGTGTTGAAGGATAAAACATTTCCTAGGTGCTGAAGAACATGAAGATTTGAAGTAAATAAAAGATAGTTAATTTCTTGTCACATGTCTTAAGAAAGTGTGTTGTCAAAGGTACATTGTTTTCCATCTGTTTCTTCAGGTAAAGCAACATCAGTCTGAGATTTTCCAGTTCCTGGATTCCAAGAAGATCAAGTACCGTACTTTGGACATCACAACAAGCACTGATGTGAAGGAGGAGATGAGGAAGAAAGTGGGAAACCCCTCAGCGATGCCCCCTCAGGTCTTTAATGGGGACAAATACTGTGGGGTGAGTCTTATTTTGCTATCTTGTTTTTGATACTGGCCTGTAGATTAAAGGACAGAAAGTACTCTCTATTTTAACTGCATCAAACCAACCTCAAGGGAAATGGTCAACTGATTTGATTTTATGACAAGCTTTAGACGGTCACCACACTTCTGCACCCATCTACTACACTTTTACAGCAGCGATTCCTTTTAAACAGTCTGAACCAATTTATCATTATTTGTTATTTCTTATAGTTTGCAGAAGTGTTATCTTTAAAAATGACAACTGATGTCATGATAAAAATCAATTAATATTTTAATTTGCATTCATATTTTCATTTTAATATCATTAAAATCATTCAGATGAACGTTTAGAAAGAAAATATTTTCATTTGAAAAAATGATTTTGCATTACACATTAAACAGTGTTGAATCTATCAAATAATGTGACTAAGTTCAGTATGCATGAGCTTGTCTGTTAATTATATCAGTTCTAAGTCATGGAAACACAAATCAAATATTTCCAGAGAATGACACTTTTACAGTTATTAAGAAGAGCACACAAAGGGCAGGCTATGTCCTGTATTAAAGCATAAAAAACATGGAAATATTCTAAACAAATACTTGTATGGGTTTTGCAACAAGTGTTTTGAACCACTGAGTAAGTAACTGGGAGGTACAAAACAAGTTTTTGAAGTGTATGTTTAAGGCTATTAATTTTGTTGCACAAACAACACTTAAAACAAAAGCCTTTGCATATAGACACATGAGACCTGTCAAGCTTGTTCACTTTCTTCTAAACAAAAACACACCCTTTAAAACACTCCCATCGACTATAGATGTTTCCATTGCTTGAAGTGCACCAGTGTTTTTTTGTGATCTCTTGCCGCCCTGGGGAACATCTTGACATTCTCTTATGATACTCAGAACAGCGCATGCCGCCCACAAATGAGCAAATAAGCACACAACTCAGATTCCAGACATGCACTGTGTCTGGGTGTACTTTACCACTAATGCCTGAGCATTAGTGAGGCGTTCATGTCTTATTTTTTCAAAGGCACATTTTTCATTTGTGAAAACCATTAAAAAGTATATTTTATAAATATATATAAGCATATTCTGTGTTTGTGTTCATAGGACTATCAGAAGTTTTTTGATGCAGTGGAGGATGGGAAACCAGAGATATTCTTCAAACTCTGAGCTACTATAGGCACACTGCACTAAATCCTTGCATTTGTAATAGAGATTTTATATGTTAAGGAAATACATATTATGCACCATTAAATGTAAAAAAAGAAGATTTTCTATCAAGTGTATCTTTACTAAATTTTGTATCTACAATGGTATCTCATCACATTTTGGAGTAAAGATGAGCAACTTCCCTATTTGTCCACTAGGAAGCAGTGTTAAATCTTTCCTTACTATAATTCAGTGGCCATGAGTTTTTCCTCTTAATTATATAAATAGTAAGTCATGGCAACACAGATTGGACATGTAAATGCAGTTTATTCTGGGAGGGAATAGTTTTAGCTGAACTTTAGCTTTCTAATTTAAAATGATCTTTATAATTGTTTATGCATATTTAATTATTTTGAGATCAAGCAATATTTGGCAGACCTGTTAAGACTCTGCTGAAGACATCTTTCCTGTCTGTGTGTCAAAAATGTTATGTTGTTTGAAAACTGTATCCATTTTTAATAGTATTCAATTCATGAGTAGCAAACATCTGTATCTATTTATAGAGGAACCATATTTTCTCACGCTCCCTACATAAACCGCTTATACTAGCTAAAGCAAAACTGACACATTCAAAGGCATGCTGGGATATCTTGAGTGTTCCAGTAGTTTTTTTAAAGGTTATGCAGTCCACCCATATTATACTATGACTTATAAAAGTATTTGAACAATTAATCCAGGACAACACTCATTATGCAAAACAATTGATTTAAATTAAAAATAAAATAATTAGGTAACACTTTACAATAAGGTTAATTAGTTAACATTAGTTTACAACATTAGTTAGCATGAACTAATAATGAACTGCACTTATACAGCATTTATTAATCTTTTTAATGTTAATTTCAACATTTACTAATACTTTATTAAAATCTTGTTAACATTAGTCAATGCACTGTGAACTAACAATGAACAGCTGTATTTTTATTAACCAACGTTAACAAAGATAAACAAATACAGTAACAAATGTATTGCTCATGGTTAGTTCATGTTAGTTAATACATTAACTAATGTTAACTAATGAACCTTATTGTAAAGTGTTACCAGATTTAAAAATTTAAAGACAAATATTTGTTTTAAATATAGAATGGCACTTTGTTTGATATTTTGTTTTATGCAATATTTTTTAAATGTCAAAATGCATTTTGGGGCCACTGTGCTGAGAAACACAAGAAACCATCAGCTTTTTAATATACTTTATTACAAATTAAATACATTTATTCATTTAGATTATGAAAGTAAACAACAGTAACAGTACATATAAAGGAATGACTCCATTTTACAGAATGTGTGTGTGTAAGACAAAATGGGCATAAAACGTAATAGTGTCCTGAGAATGGTGTGTGTCTGCGTAAACATAAATGCAGTGCTCATTCATGTGGAATCATTTAATGACAGGGTGGGAGGAGCAGAGCAAGAAGTGAACATCATAATGAATAGTAAATGAAAATGCAGAGAAAGTAGGTATGGGAAAGTGTCTGTGTTTTGTTTTGGGCGGTTTCGGAGGAGAATGGCAGTAGTTTGCCCAAGCGAGTTCCACAAAAACAAGTAAACCAATGTTCTCCCCAGCACTGTATAATATAAGTGAATATATAAGCTACATAAACGGGTGAGCTGAAAGTTGAGGCATCACAGTGTTGTACATGCTACTATACCCCTGAGAAGAAAAACACACATTATCAGACAATTAAAGAGGAAAGACTTGGATAACCTCAAACAAGACATGAGTTCTTTTTTTTCCACCAGAAGGAACAAAAGGCTGTAGGAATGAGATCTGAAATTCTGATAATAAATCATAAAGTGTTCAAATACTGATTCAGGACCAGTTTTACTCAGAGAAGCCCTGAAAAGCCATTGCGGGGCATGGAAACACTGAGCTCAGATCAGTACTGTTACACTGAGATCTTAATGCAGGTCAGGATTCTATTTCCTGTTTTGGCTTCTGGTCTGAACTTCTTTTTACAAACAGATCAAAGCCTATGGAAAAGAAAACATTTTTCCGGATTCTTTTGCTGTATCCCTACATTTCCTTTTGGCCATCTGTCTGAGCTCCTTAACAAAGAACGATTTACAAGAGACTTGTACATGCAACCTTGCATACTTGTGATTCTTTTTGTGTTGATTACACACACACAGACACACAAACAAGTTCACTTCTATCCTTATATCCAATTTAAAAAAGAAGAATAGGCTTTTCATGCAACACGTACAACAAACAAAACCAAACATAACATATAAATAATTAATTAGGCCATAGAAAACATTTGTAACCACCCTGTGTATGTGTTTGAACAGACAGAAGTTTCTTAGGAATAGCTGGGCCGGAGGGCAGCAAGTGTTTTGGCAGAATGCATTGCTGGCAGTGAGGGCTTACAAGAGTTACATCACAGGAGAAAGAGGCAAAACCACAGTGTTTCAGTCTATGGAAATGTCAATGACATGGTTCAGGATTCAGAGTCCTGCAGAGAACAGAATTTAATTCAATTAGATGTTAATAATTGAGTATAGCCAGTAAACTCATGAACTGTATGACATACAAAAAAATCATCCTAATCATCAGTATGTTGTCTGGCTGTCCTGTAAAAATATCTATTTTGTTTTAAGAATGTTTCAATTTTTTTTTACTGGACAGTGAATTGATTTAAAGACAGGTGGGAGTGTGTTTGTACCTTTACAGAGGGCACACGGAGGAATGAGAACACTGTGTTCGTCTCTTTAGACTGGAAGAAATCTTCGTAATCCTGAAAAATAATCGAAAGATAATGACTGAGTAGAGTTTATAGCAACAGCAACTGTGTTTATTGCACTATTTGTCTTTAAAATTGGATATCTGCAAAAACATCAAACTAAACCTACTGATTCAGATGATATAAACTATGGCATTAAACATCCATTAACGTGAAACATTTTCTTAATACATTCCTTTTAAAATAAATAACAATAGCTCTAAATGTAAAACCTATTTTACAAATGTGTCTTGCCCTCTATTTATGTCAAACAGTTAATCGCTGTGACATGTTGTGAAGGAAGTGGATCTACTGTTCTGATTGGCTAAAAGAGGTGCTAGGGGCGGGGTCTGAGAGTAATCAGGATTATTGTGAGATTAGATCATTTGGGCACTCAGCAGAATCAAGCCATTACTGCCATGAGTCATTCACAAAATATACAAACCTTACCTTAACTCAAGCATTGACTGATGAATCATTTCTAATTTAAGATTCAAACTCATAAACGTCTTTCTGATACTTCAGCCATGTATGGCAAGAGAGTCACGGTGACATATTACACTACAAATCTAATTAATAAATAGAGTATGTGAATGTGAATATTAAAGTGTGTTTTGCCTGCAAAGTCTGTCCTTTTTTTAAAAACTTTGTAAGAATTAGGCATTTTTTCACTACCTTATATAAGACATCTCATGCTTTAATGTGATTGGCTAGAGAAAACACAATAAATACTACACTAGAATGTAACTGGTTGAAAAAAGAGAGCAGTGCTGCACAGTTTACTTTACACCATGGATTTTTGTTTACATGTATTGATTTTTAATAAACATCCTCTCAAACCAACCCAATGTTCTCATTGGCCAGACAGCTTATCATTGATTTAACTATTTGAGAGAAAGAAGAGTATTACTTCAGCAGACCCCTCCAAATCCCTGAGACATTTTACTAAGCCAATTAATACCATATGAATTAAGGTCTGTAGTATATTGATGAAGATATAACCAGTGTACGAGTATCTATCCAACAATAAATTAGCTTCTGATAGAAGATCATTGGTTAATCTTTGAGCAAGTTGATGATGTTTTAAGGGGAGAGGTTACATCACCTATCCAATGTTTGACATATCAAGCTTATTATTTTTTTTAGTTAAAAGAATGGCACATGTGAGGCGGACTCACGCCACAGTAGTCGTCTCCATTGAAGATCTGAGGGGGGAGAGGATTGCCCTTTTCAGGTCGTTTCTCCTCAGGAATGTTCCGGTACATCCAGAACCTCTGATCCTCCAGCATAGTGATGTCAACCTCCTCAAAGCTGATCCGGTTGGCCTCCAAAAATCCCACGATGGCTTGCTGGTGTTTTTTCACCTGTGGAATCACACAGTGAAGTTCTTCGGTCAATGATGATCTGTGGTAGTTCTCAAATGATCTGTCATTAAGATAATTAGGGCTACTCACAAATTAGAACTTGAGTATGAGCATGTGTGAGTATTTGTGCATTTGCATGAATATTTGAGTCATTATTTATTCAAAATTGGGAAGTGGTGTAATCTTAAGGAAACTCTGCAAGAGTTACTATACTGCAGATACTTAACTTATCACATTATTTGACACATTTAACTCTGGTTGTGTGTCATGCAAAATACATTTTAATAAAGTAAAATTAAAATGTGATATTATTTCTTTAATGTATTCATTTTAATATTAGCCATTTAGCATTTTTATATTTATCACCGATAAATTGGTCCATTAATGACCATTTTTGGACTGATCATCCTTGTACTTGTCAGCCTTGAAACATTTTTAATATAACAGGATTTGCACTTACAGTATAGTTATACATTTTCGTGTGCATACGTGCTCATTTGTCTATTCTAAAAACACACAGATGGACATTACCCAGATGTAGGCTGAGAGTATTGATCGACAAAGAGGGATTCATTTGAAAGTAAATGGAAAACATACCACTGAAATGTACACACCTTGAAAATATTTTCCATAAAACATTTAAAGCAAATCAAATTTAACACAGAAAACAATGAAAGACTTTGTGTGTGTGTGTCATTGTGCTTGTTGTGAGTGTCCATTTGTGTGATTTCATTTATATATATAAAAAGACATGTTTATACTTTGGAAAGTCTACTTTTCTTGGCATTGTTGCACTGGAATGAATATTGATTTTTTAAACATACAAAGGCAGTCAGTGAGTGCAGATGGTGACAGACAGACAAGTAAGATAAGGACAAAATATTTATTTAATGTTAATGGGGAAGGATTCAGAACCTAACAGGATTCCAGACAAAGAACAGATATATATATATATATATATATATATATATATATATATATATATATATATATATATATATATGTTCTTTGTCTGGAATCCTGTTAGGTTAGGAGGTTCATTAAATAAATATTTTGTCCTTATCTTACTTGCCTGTCTGTCACCATCTGCACTCACTGACTGCCTTTGTATGTTTAAAAAATCAATATTCATTCCAGTGCAACAATGCCAAGAAAAGTAGACTTTCCAAAGTATAAACATGTCTTTTTAAAAAATTCCTAGCACTCATAGTTAATGAGTGCATTAAGAATAGGCACACAGAGATGAAAAAACTTCCAAAAGAATAACATTACTTTTTAAAAAATCCTTCATTATAAGAACACAGTAGACTTGAATTGATGCATCAGTTTAACATTTAAAAAGCTATAAAACTGAAAAGTATTATTAAAAGTATATTAAGTAAAAAAAAAACATACTGATGACCGAATGTCTATTTATAGCTTAAACTATCTCTTTAACATAAAAATGTGTGTACACCCCTAAATATTTAAACACACACACAAAGGTAGGGTATGCAATTTTTTATTAACACTTTTTGTTATTGTCATGATATGTCAGTTGTGTTTAGGACGTTTCAGTTTTCATGGACTTTTAGTTTGTTTTCATTCATCACATGTGTTCCTTTGTTTGAGTTTCCCTGCCAATCATCAGTTCCATTGGACACTAATCATCACAGCTGTTCCTCATTTAGGTTATCACCATGTGTATTAATTCCTCACCATCTCTGTTTGTCCGGTCTCATTTGTGTTAGCACTTGTCTGTATCTGCCCGGTGGATGTTTATTAAACTTTGCATTTGAACTTATCCTGATCTTCTTCATCTGTCTGTCTACAACCCTTGCTTCTTCCTTCACATCCTGATAGCAATCAACAACAGAAGTATGTACATCTTCTGTGCAAGTCTCAGGGCCAAAACATTTTTGTCCAATCATTGCATTCCGTCCGAATACAATGATACGATGTCCTACCTGTCTGCCAACACATGGATGTATCTCCGCACATCACATGTCATCAGCGTGTTCTGTAAGGCAGAGTTGTAGACACACAAGCTGTGTTCGAAATAGTCCCCTATGCTGCTTTTGCATATAGTTTGTGCTTGCTGTTTAATAATTATTTGAAACTTAGCAAACTGGCAGCTCCAGTAGTAAAGAAAACTTTTATCTGGAACTCTGTCATGGGCTGTGTCCGAAATCTCCCACTACTCACTATATAGTGGACTATATAGTGAGCTCGCCATTTTGTAGTGCTGTCAGTCAGTGATGATTATTATACCCTATATAGTCCACTCAATGCATCCCAGAATGCATTTTGAAAAGTAGTGTACAACCGATGGTCACTAACCCAAGCCCTACATACCATCATGCATTGCGCTGATTGTAAAAGATCAGCATCATCTTCATCTTTAACTTACAATTTGACGACGTCAGACATTCTCTGACGACGTCTCGCTAGCGTAGCAAGAACAGCACGTCGTTTTCTGTGTCTAGAAATCCTGTTTCTTTTGCTAATCCGCAAAATCTTCTGAATCACGAGAACAAACAAACAAAAAAAAGATAAATATTGAGTGGCATCTCCACAGAGTCTAAAAGCTGTTTTATTAAGAGTATTATGAGCAAGATATTTGATAACATAGATCTGTTTTTTCCCCCCTAATGTCGACAGGCAAGAGAAAACGGTGTGGCGCGAAAATGAAAATATATGAAATATGTGTATTAATTTTATTTATGTTTATAAGTTATAATCATGTGTGGAGTAACGCATTATAACAGAAACGGCCAGAAATTACTTTTAATTTTACAATTTTGGAGAAATAAGCTCAATATAATGTAATGTATTTATAAAAAAAAAATCTATTTAGCCCAGAGCTGGCTCGGCACCAGCCACCAGATGATGGCGCGTTTAAATAGTGCGACAGTAATGACGTAATCAACGGCACCGAGAGACGATCGAGTAGTGTCCGAAAGTGGTGTTTCTATTATACTGGTGAGCTCACTATATAGTGCTCTACTCCCTACCCCCTACATAGGGGTTAGGGAGTAGTGGTTTGAGTGGAGATTTCAGACACAGCCATGGAAACTATGTACAACCCTTAATTAAACAATGTAATAATCAAATAAAAAAGGAATTTATACGTGTATGATATTACGCTGTACCCACATTGGACCAGAGGATTAGAAAATAGATGGATGATTCAGCTGCGGGCGCTATATCTTCTGGTCAGACACGGGAATTCATTCAGTGCGGCCCTCAAAGTGCATTGTGGGTATTATCTAGTCATTGAGTGTACATCGGTTGTACACTCATTATTGCAGGGTGCATTATGGGTGAATGAGTGCACTCGATAAAGTCCACTATGGTTATGAACACCACTAAAGATGGTTGTCCCCTAAAATAGTGCCCTATTTAAGGGTATATATAGGCAGTGTTTTTGGACACAGCTACAGTCACCGGGTGCCATTAACAAACAGCAGCCGCCTTTTACAGTTCCTTCTGAACCAAAACAACGAGCTTATGCTGCCTTCAGTCCATGTCATAACTGTAATTACAAGATGGCAACCCGTATCATTCTACCGGATCTAATTTATGGATTTATGCATTTCTATGTCAATACTATCAACACTGAAATTAATCTGCCACAGTCATGTGGTATACAAGTAAGATTTCTGTAAGTTGTTTACATTCATTATTATTGCAATGTTATGTGATTTGAGACATGAGGTAGTTTAACGCCATCTCTCATGACGCTTTGCAGACTCTGCTTTGTGCAGTCATGTGTTTTGAAGGAGGAGTGGCTTTGGAGACACTCTGAAGGGAGGGAGGAATCTAATGCTTTCAAGTTTAGTTCAGTTCAGTCTTTATTGTCCCACCCAGGGAAATTTGATTTGCAATAGGGTTAAAAAACAAACATACATGAGACATAAACAAAGATAAGAACAGCCGTTATATACAACCTTTTTTTGTTCGTCTAAAAGTACTCAATAGTTGAAATGGTAGCCTCAACAATCTATCGTTTTGAGCAGCAGCTCAAGCTCAGTAAAAATTTAGGGCATTAATTGCCGTGGGTGCAAAGGAAAATTTGTATCTGTTAGTTTTTATTTTGGGCAATCTGTATCTTCTCCCAGAGGGGAGAAGAACAAATTACTTCAACAGAGGGTGGTGAGGGCTAGATATGATACTCTGAGCCTTACATTTAACTTGTCTTTTATAGATGTCTGCCAAGGAAAGTTGTTTGGTTCCAATTATTTTGCTGGCTACCTTAACAATGTTAGACAGTTTATTTTTGCTTTGCACCGTAAGATTTACAAGAGAAAGATTATAAGATTTATAAAATAGAGTCATCAAAGTTTTGTCCACATAAAAAGTATTCAGTCTACGCAGAAAATGAAGCCTCTGAAGACCCTTCTTGTAGACAGCAGAAGTGTTAAGGTCAAAGTTCAAGTTTTTGTCAATGACTGTTCCTAGGTATTTGTAACTCTCCACTGCCTCAATAAGTGAGCCCTTGATTGTTGTTGAAGAGGTAGAGTGGAGAGTTTTTCTGAAGTCTATGACCATGTTTTTGGTTTTAAGGACATTTAACTTTAAGAAGTGGTGGTCACACCAATCAACAAAGTCGTTCAAAACAGGCCCATGGTCAACCTCTCCATCCTGGAGCAGACTGACTAGTACTGTATTGTCCGCGAACTTCAGAAGAAACCTGTTATTGTGGTGACTCCTGCAGTCATTTGTATATAGGAGATACAATAGTGGGGACAAGACACACCCCTGGGGTGAGCCTGTAGATGACAATCGCTTCTGAGATAGAACGCCATTAACGCTGACTGACTGGGGCCTAAATGTTAAAAAATCCAGTACCCATTTTACTATACCTGGATCAAGGTTAAAAGAGGACACAAGTTTCCTAACTAAAAGGTGTGTTTGGATTGTGTTAAATGCTGATGAAAAATCAACAAATAAAAGCCTTGCATGGGTTTTTTTCCCCTCAAGATGCTTATACAGAAGATTAAGTAAGGTAGTAGTAGCAT